TCGAAAGCAAGCAAGTTCCCACTGAAAAACAAGAAACGCACACTCTGCCTTAAATTTGCTCGGTTTCACCAAGCAGGCTTGCTGGTATGGCAAGTAGCATTAGAAACAACAATTACAACAAATCTATGAAACAAACAACTCATACCTATCTGAAATTATACAGGAGTCATATTTTTCTCAAAAAAATAGAATAAATAACTGGAAAAATCCATATAAATTAAGTTTTCTCATAAAATATGGTATGCAATATGACAAATTCGAATGTCTATGGATTAAGAGGAACTTGATGTGTGAAAATAATTCAAGAAAAAAACTTAATTACATAATTTTAGGGTAAATGTCTTTTAAATCTCAAAGAAAATACAAAAGGGTTTTTTAAGTTAAATGTAGCAAAAAAATACAAATAGCAGAAATAAATCTTGCCTTCTTACATGCTCTGCATCAAGATTTTTTTTAAAAGTAACAACAGTTTAAAAAGCAATAGAAATTAGGTTATTTCCGTAATCAAAATAAAAAGAGTTACCTTTAAAATTCATTTTACGAACATTAAAAACTTTTATTGTATTACACAATGCTGTAATTAGTTTAATTTTAATCAAAGTAATTAAGAATTTAAAACAGTATTTTTTGCAATTTGGGAGAAACAACAGTTTTAGATTATAAAATATTAAAACTAAGTGTCCCGATTGAAAATTTAATTGAAGAAAAACAGGAAGAGCAAGAAAATGTAGGGGAGAGTGGGGTCAATTGTAACAGGGTACGATTGTAACAGAGCAAAAATTTCGGGGGTCGGGTCCTAGATTTGGTTCCCAGGTAGCGCACAAGGGGTATTTAATAAATCTACATGTAAACCCCTGCTGGCAATCATTTAAATGTACTTTTGAAAGAGTTACATCACAAAAGATACTTTCACGCTACGTAAGTACTTTTTTTGGTATTAGAATATTATATTGTAACAAAGTAATTTTGTTTAAACAAATAAAAACTATTAACCGAATATGTCAGTGGACACCTTAGTTAACATTTAAAAAAAAGATTAGTTTTGTTAATTAACTAGCATTGTTTTTAACAAATGAAGCTGAAATGGCGTCTTGGGGACAATTGTAACAATAAGTAAAGGGACGATTGTAACAGCTGAAAATAAATAATCTTATGTTTACAAACCATTACTTAACTCTTTAAGAACCACCAATAGTTTCCTTAAAACGAAATATTATGTTGCATGTGCATTATTTTATTTGTCACCTTTCACAGCATAAATTAAAATTTTTAACCCCTTAAAGTTAAAAGCTTAACCCTTTAGGTCTCTGCTCATTATTATTTTTACTCCTAAAATATCACTACTAAAATCACTACTAAGAACGATGAATAAAAAAAATATATCACAACTATGATAATATGTATAATTAACTATGTTTTAGTTGAATTTATGAACTATTACAATTGTAAGTAGGGACAATTGTAACAAGTGCACGACTGTCAGAAATTGTTAATAACTAATATAATAACATTTAAAATTAGGTATTTATTTTTTTTCTAGTAGAGGATAGTCTACTTTACTCGTCTGTCAATTAATACTAATAATAAATTAGATTTTTTGTTAGTTAAAAATAGTTAAGTAAAAAAATTTACAATTGACTTCACTCTTCCCTACTGTATGCTGCGTTCTGCGGAGGAAACCAAATTTATTCTAAAAAAATGTTAAACTAATTACAAAGTACAACTACTGACAAAACAATAAAATAATGTATTCTGTAGCAATTAAGTGGGTTAAAATACGCCCACTGAAATATTTCTATGTGGGTTTGTTAATTTTGCCCTCAAACCACACAATGTTATCGCAGCAAATGGTGATTATTTTGAAAGCATTGTATTACAATTTCCAAGTCAATCTCTTGAAGAACTTTGCAACTTGTTATGAAAATTGGTGAGAAATACATTCGTTACCGAAGCAGAACGTAGCAAGTTTTTATCTTTGTATATTCCAATTTATTCCAGTTTTTCAAAAATTGAATTTCATTTTCGTAATAGTCAGTATATTTTATTAAATAGAATTGTATTGTATAGTCTTTTATTTTATATTATTAGAAGCATTCTCTGAAAATAAAAATACTTTAAAAATCCATGATTTTTAACTTATGTTTGCTATTTACAATGACAACTGAAATGTTTTAAATTCTTATAAAAAGGCGGATGCATACCACAAAACAATTTCAAAATAAGAAAAGCAAATCTGAATATTGAGAAATTCCACTTGTTGAAATGTAAGATTTTTGTTTTCGTTGGCTGAAATATGTCAAAAGCATACTCTAGGGTACAAGTCTGTTTATTTTAGAATCACATTGTGGTAGAACATATATTTTTGAAGCATATATCATTCTTTTAGAATATTTGTTTTCTTAAAATGAAATGCAGAAAGAGGAAATCGATAAAACGATAAACAAAAAGAAAGGAAAAACATTGAATGATTTTTCGTAAATTTGAAGATTTTTTAAATCGTAACTATATAACATAGCTACTGTAGACAAAATACAACAAAAATTATTTTGAAAGAGAAAATTATTAGGCTTAAATAGTTTCTCAAATCTAAATAAAAATAGGTACAAATAAAAACATTCTCCATAAATAAATTTTGAGAACAATAAAGTTAACTGTACGTTTACCAGAATCTAAAAGACAAAAATTTTCATGAATATTTAGATCTGAGGGGAAAAAAATCACTTATTTCTAACATGTGTTTGTGTGGGTGAAATATAATCTCAATCAAATATTCAACACCAAAAATACATTTTCTATGTTTGAATTCTACAAATTGTAACTAAACACCGAGTGATATATTACAATCATTTAACATTATGTCAATTACTGGCATTTTAGTAGTATTTAAAGACAATAATTTTTATTCAATAATTTAAAATGTAATAAGGTTGGATTTACATTTAAGGAATTTTTCAGGTTCGATAAAAAAATATTTTTAATTAAGCAATTTGGAAGCCTGTTGGCTTATGTGTTTGGGATTTCGAAAATCACATAAAGTTAAGAGTTATGTATAATATAAAAAGAATTTGCCAAACGTATTATGTATAGTATAAATTGCTAAATGTATACTTTTCTCGCCACAGAGTCTGACACTGTCTGTTGCTATGGAAGCAAGTAAAAGAGCATTTAAAAGAGGAAAATTTTTGATATTTTTCATAACGTCCTGAGGCAAAACTTGCGAGAATACCTACATGTCTATCTCACAGTGTTGCTTGAAATAGTTTAATCTCGTAGCCATGGTCACCGACAGTGCTCCAGACAACTGTCGAGAAAAGGGGTTTTAGTTAGACACAGCTAAGCTAACAATGACATGCTTAATAAATATTTTGATTATACTTCGTAGAGACACAGTTTTTAAGAATCCATTATCATGCTCACCAACTTCTTCTAAAAAAAGTTGCACTTCTATCACATACTTAGTTCGATTATATTTTACAACCATCGTTGAACAGTCGACCTTATTTTGGGCTTACGACTACTAATGTTCAACTCTGTAGTCTTGTAATTTTGAACCAATCCAGAAGACAAGGAAACTCCTGGATCAGTAACCCCCAGAGGTATGATTTGTTATGAGAACATAGAGGACTTTGAGACACGACAGATTTAACTTGCATCAGTCACTATTTACTACACGGGGAGTCTTCGGTCGGCGGGGATCGAACCCACGACCTCTAGGAGATGGGCCCGGTGCCCTACGAACCAGGCCATCCCCGCCTCCGCGAACTGAGGAAACGTGAAGTTAAATATCCTATATTGCGACTTGCTATACAACGTGTTCAACATTCCCCTTCAGCTAATTAATAGTATATTCAAATTTGCAGCATTTTTGTCAACTGGTGATATACAGTATTTATAAAACATTTAGTACTTATAAGCAACATCATTGTGGTCTTATTTTTATAGGCAAAAGACTTATTACCACGTCCTAAAACAGGTGAATCTTATCAAACCCGCATTGCTCCAAGCCACCTGAATGTTTTCTTAAATCTTGGCAATTTGATATCTAGAAACATTTCAAGGTTAGAAGAAGCTGATGAAGTGAGTATTTTTATTAAAGAATTTTCAAACGGATAGTTTAAATTTCCTTCATATGCTTATGTTCTCATATCCATAATGAAACTGTTTAGAATCGAAAATTGTTTTGTTCACAATATGAGAACAAGCGTATTTATCTAATAAAAGAAAGGGAGAAAATATAAGAAAGCATAATACAGAAACGTCATTCTGATATGCTGGAATACAACTAGGCTATTTCAGGATGAATGGAATCAGGGTAAAAAAGGATTAAGTGACATATTACATTTTGTTTTTAATCTATTTGTAAGCGAGATAATAAACTTTGACGTATTTTATTCAATACGTTCAATACAATACATTATATATATCTATTCCTAAAATATTGCAAATCAAATTTAAACGTTTATTTAGCTAATGAGCACAATCAGAATCAAGCATTTTTTTAGTCTTTTTGCTTGTGAAATTAAGAAAAAAATATATGTGATTTCATTTTATCTACAATTTTGTTGCGATTTCTTTTTTAGGCCATTTGTTATTAACACACAAAAAAAACTTGAATTTTTTAAAAACTTATTTCAGTATACTAAAAGCCAGAGTGTTTTCTCAGGTAAAAGTAAAGATAGTTTAATTTATTTTTTAATAAATAAATATTTTTTTTCTAAATAAAGTTAAGTTTTCATACATTAAAAGAAAGAAAAAAAACCCAGATATCTTATTCATTTTCAGATAGTTCAGTTTATTTATACAATCTAAATTCATCTTATAATTTCAGTTCAGATTTATTATTTTTTGCTTGTAAATAAATATTTAATATTTCTTATGGCACAGTTATTGTTTGGAAATTTTTTAGATAAATTAATTATTGAGTTTTATGCTTTAATAAATCTCCGCAAATATTCCTTACAGGGGAGAAAACCATCAAGTAGGAAGGTTTGATCGTAGTTTTACACTTTTGCGAAATCATTAATATTAAGATTACTTTATAATTTGAGCAGAAAATAATGATGTAAAAAAATCCTTAATAAAAATGTTATTTTATAATTTAAATAAAAATACTTCTGTAAGCAAAATTATCAATAAAAGTCAAGTAAAAAGTAATAAGGTAAGCAGATAGCTCATAATATGTGATGTCAAATGATGCCACTTTGGAAGATGTATAAGGTTAAAAAAATAAAAAATATTATTGCAAAATGTGGGCTAAGCCTTTTCCCTCCTACTTGTAATGAAATTTAATTAATAAAGCAGTGGTTATAAAATTGTGGCAAGAAATTAATATATTGAATGAATATCAATTTAACATTTATTTAAAAAGTGAATTTTACTACTTTTATTGCTAAATATTGTAAAAGCTTTGCTGTAAAGATATAGCACGTTGTTGCTCGTAATAAAAAAATTACTACTTTCGAATATTAAAGGATAAAAATAATTTGCAATTTTTAAGATAATTAAAAAATTTAGTCAAAGAAAATCTGCTGTTTAATGTGTTAAAAGCTATTCATTATTTTAAATGATACTTTAATTATAAATAATATCTTATTGGTTTTTAATTACCATTTTTAAAATTTAAATGTATCATTACTTAAGTTTACTAGTTTTCAATTTTTTCCCTGTTCAACAATTTTAATATTTGCAACAATCTAAAATATTACTTTTCATAAAAAGAAAATTACACCAGTTTTCAAAAAATTGCAGTCTTACTCATTTTCATTTTTGAATAAATTTTTATTTCGAAGTTTACAAACTTATGACGCAGCATAAGTAATTATATATTAATGGTCTTAAATACACATATTTACATAATTCTTTGTTGGTTGTTTTTGTTTTCAGTTATATAAACAAGCCATAAGTATGAGAGTGGATTATATACAGGCTTACATTAATCGAGGTGATATTTTACTCCGTTTAAACAGGTGAGTTTTATGGAATTAAATTAATTTAAAACTTTCTTTTGATGGGTTTTGTTATGCCAAATTTAACTAAGATTAATATACCATATATTATTTGGATTTTAGTTAAATTGTTTATTTTTAAAGACGCAAAAAACTAACTTTTGGCTTATTTATTTAAAACAAAAGAAGGTAAAACAATTAAAAATAAATTTTAAATAACACATCTATTCAATGTAATTGTTTAGTTTACAAAAAATGAAGCGGTTTGCAAAATAGTGCTCAGTTTTTTTCGGAAGCTTAGATTAAATTGAAATTTAAATAGCAAATCAAATATTTCTTGATACGCCATATACTGAGAAAAAAAGCATGGTCAAAACCTTAAGAATATGGAAAACACCAAAAAGCTTAGTAATTTTTGCAGAAACGCGTCGGTAATGATTTTAGTAAAATTAAACGTAAAATAATGTTTTATAATATGGATATAAAAATTTGCTAAATGCAGTAAAATTTGGCAATTTTTTTTCATGATACCTTAAAACATGACATAAAATCCGCTTATTTATCTTTCATATTTGTATTTTTTATTAAATGTGCGATAATAAGAACAATAATTTTGAAATCCATAATTTCAGACAAATCGCTAACATATGAACGAAAAAATTACCAAATGAAAGGTTTAAATATCATATATTTTGGTTTTGTTAACCAACATGATTTTTTTAAACCAGAAATGTAATTACCGTACAGTAGGTTAATTTTAACAGATTTTTTTTCACTCTATGTAGCTAAATAGATGTTACTAGATGCCGACATTAATTTAGTAACTACTTGTTGCGAGAACAGATTTTTAATCTAAAACATCTAAAAGAAATTTCAAAAGTTAGATGATTGTACTCCCCATAAATTTGTGTTCTTGATTAAATAATCTTAAGTAAAGAAAAACATAACGTTTTTTTTTTCGAAGCTTGTTACATATTGACTAACATTCTTCAAAATGATAAGTTACTTTGTACTACGTAGACTCTACGTTTGGACTATATATACTCTATATAGACTAAAGTTGAAAGAGAGAAGACATAGTTTCAGTTCTTACTCCTTCAACACTGAAAAATGTGGTTTAGACGCTGAGGAAGGTTCTTGTCTAGAGCAGCGATGCCCAAATGGTGTTCGCGGAATATTAGGGTTCCTTTTAAAGATTGCAGGGGTTCAGAGAATAAGGACTTTTTTTAAAAAAAATCCTGAATTTTACAATTTGCAATTTAATATACATGTAATTAATCATTCATTATTTAATTAATAATTCTGTTATTTTCCTTAAGTTATTTAAGTTTAATACTTTTTAAGAAAAAACAACAAAAAAGCTTGTTTTTTTAAGTAACAAGATATAATGAGGCAGGTAGGTACTTTATTTACGTCACACTAGAGCTGCACAATGGGCTACTGGCGACGGTCTGGGAACATTCCCTGAGGATGATCCGAAGATATGCCATTGCAATTTTGATCCTCTGCAAAGGGGGTGGATCCCCTGCTTTGGTAGCCCGACCATCTGCACGCAAAGTCGAGCACTTTACGGTAAAACAGTTTAATTAGGACCTCGGTCTCTACGCAGGCTGATCAAAGCGGTCACCCACCCACTTACTGACCGCAACCAGTGAAGCTTGACTTTGGTGCTCTATTGGGAACCGTATCTTTACGATCAGTTCACTGCGGGACGCTACATAATAAATAAGGAAAAGGGTATGCATTTATGAAAAAATACAATTCGGTCGATTAAAATAACCAAAATCAAAAATGAAAAAGTAGGTTTCTCAAATCTCAAAGTTTATTTTCGTCCTTTTTTGCTCATTCTTTAATAAAAACCGTATTTCAGCTCATTGTGTTTCAGTTTATGGATTCGCTTGAATCAAATTAAGAAATAGACTAGATGCCGCTCTAAACCTGTGGTTTATATTGTTGCCCCTAATCATTAAATATTTTAATAATAATAATAAAATTACAATTGCTGATTATTTTGTTGATTTATATATTCTCAATTGTTAATGAAATTTATTTATTAAGTCTCAGCCGTTCATCAATAGAGTTCAATCTTTAATAGCTTCATATTAAAAAAAATGGGAACCACTAACCTACAGAACTGAAGCGATTGTACTAAAAAAAAACTAGTACTAGTATGTTTATTTCTGCACTTGATTAGTGCCTTACTCAAGTTGTTTTTCCCTTTATTGCAACATTCCATTTCAAAAAGAAAGGTATTTAAAATAACTGATGGAAGGTTTGAAAAAGCTGAAATGTTTTAATTGATAGAAAATTTAAAAATTACTTGAAACAATTTGGAAGTTAAAATTTTATTTTAAAGGTTTATAGCTAGAATTAGAAAAGCAGTAAAATATTGAATAGAAATTTTTCTACTTTATGCCACCTGCAAAACTTTTATTGCAGCTTTCCAAATTTTTTAACTCTATGAAGTTGAGCTTCATATCTTTATTAAAACATTTCTATTTAAAAAGTATCTAATTTTTTTAAATAATAATTAGTCATAATTTGTTTAATTTGTGAAATAGATTAATGCAGCTATTTGGCAGATCAATGCTGCCATGACGTAACTATTTTCAGAAAAATGATTCGAATGCCACCATTTAACATTTCAATCAAATATTAAAATTTGACTAATACCAAAATATATGCTTTAAAAATTAAATGCAAATTTTCCATTGAAAATAAAATACTTTATTTATAATAAGAACTTTAAAACATTTTTAGTGCTTATAAAATAAACCCACATTTATCATTTGAAATCTATACCATTAACAATTTAAATATTAAAATTATTTTACTTCCTAATTCGATAAAAGAGTAATTCTATACTGCTTTTATTATCCTAAATTAAAAATTTGCTTTTAATTTCCAGAATAGATATTTCAATGTAAGTCATATTTTGAATTTTCAATTCAGTTGCAAATGGATTTACATAATATCGGGCACAATGAAACTCGCCTTTTGCAAGTAGTCAACTTTATTTAAAAAAAACTGAACTACACTTTAAAAAAAATACCTTGACATAAATATGAAGCTAAATTATTCCTTTACATATTGTAAAAAATATGGAGCGATGCATTTAAAACTTAGAAATATTTTGAAGTAAAAAAATGTCCACATTTCGATGCGCCTATTTTCCAACGCTAGTTCGACCTTTAAAATGTTGGAAATAATTTTTTTTTGCTTAAGGTATGCAGAATAAATAAATATTAACGAGAAAACTAATTTGAGTTTTATGATGTAAATTCAAACTAATGCATAATAAAAGCTGAAATTTTTATTCAGAAATAAAGATTCTACTTCTAAATTGTATTTGAAATTATAATTACTTAGATAAAAATAATATAATTCATGAACTGTAATATTTTCAGAACTCAAGAAGCTCAAAAAGTATACGAACAAGCTCTTCATTTCGATAAAAAAGATCCAGATATTTATTATAATGTAAGAACATATTTTTATACATTTTGCTTTTAAGATCATTTATTTCATGTAAACCAAGTCATAACTTTCGTTTTGTTCAGAATGTCTAAATAAAATGAGCCACAAACAAATTGAAATAAACATTTCTACTGAAGATGCATGCTTTTGAAAGGAATAAAATGGAGAATAGTTTTGAAAATGTTAAAAATGATCAATTTTTCTTTTTTAATATTTTACCGTTCACTCAGATGTTTAATGAAAGAAATAAGAGTAAATTTTATTCGCTAATTTAAAAGTCTAGTGAGTAAAAACTCTGAAAATATGAAAAGAAGTAACTAAGAAAGAAATAGTTATTTTAAAACTATTGAACAATTTTAATAAAAACACTCAATTCCAAATACTTAATTTTACAGTTAAAATTAATTCAGGGTAGATCTTCGTATCAAATAAAAGTAAATAAAATCATTGATGGAAATAAATGTATACCAAATTATTTTTTACATATTTCAAATTGAGTACATAAGAACTTAGCTATTCAAAATAAAATTTCGTAATTATGGCGAAGAAAATGGAAAATTCTTCCCAAATTAAATCTGAAAAATAATGTATGTAAAACTTTAACTTGATGTAATTTGTCGTTGATTTATTGACGTAGTAAAAATGTTACGTGTTTTTAATGTACAGTGCTCAAAATAAAAACAGATCCCCCTAAATAACTTCTGATCCTAATGATCAGATCTTTACATTTTAGGACTCAATCCTAATGGTTCGAGGGCGACTTCAAATATGCTAATTAATAAGAGCAGACGATATTTTAAGTTTGAAAATCAGACACAAAAGCGTAATTTCTCTGAATAAACACACCTATTTTTTGGTGTAATCGGATTTCTGACCCCCAAAACATAGCCGCATAAGCGAATTTAAAAGAATTTGCACGCAATTGTAAAATCCGTTAGCTCAATGATAATTCCACGCAAAAAAATTACTTTAAATAAGCATTATATTTTTCTTATTATTTTATTTAATGATATTCGAAAAATCGTTGAATTTTAAGGTATGCAACTTTTTACATCGCTTTAAAGAATGTAATTTTTCGTAACAAAATACAAAATTTGAACAAAATTGGTCGTATTTTTGAGCCGTATTTTTAACATTTGATTTCTCAGAAACTATTCTAACGATTCGCTTAAATTTTGTATTTTACCATGTAAAATTACATTCTTTAAAATGATGTAAAAAATTGTATATCTTTCAATTAAAATTTTTATTAAATAAAATTATTAAATAAAAAAATAATTTAATAAATTATTAAATAAAAAAATAATTTAATAAATTATTAAATAAAAAAATAATTTAATAAATTATTAAATAAAATAACAATTTAATAAATTATTAAATAAAATAATAATTTAATAAATTATTAAATAAAATAATAATTTAATAAATTAAATAAAATAACAATTTAATAAATTATTAAGTAAAATAATAATTTAATAAATTATTAAATAAATTAATAATTTAATAAATTATTAAATAAACAATAAGTTAATAAATTATTAAATAAAATAATAAAAGATAAAAATTTACTATAAGTTATATTTTTCTGTAATTATCTTTGGATAAAAGAATTTTACCATTGCATGCAAAAAAATTTTATTCGCTTAAAAATTGGGGTATCACTTATGGGGAAACACGTAAAAAGTAAAATTAACATTAAGAAATCTAAACTTTGAAACGCTCTCCTGACCAAACTATTGGGATCACATTTCCTAGATTGCGGCTACTCCCTATATTTTGGGAGTTAGAAATCCGAATACCTCGAAAAAAAAGTATGTTTATTCAGAGAAAGCAAGTTTTTGTGTCTGATTTCGTAACTTGAAATATCGTCTTCACTAATTAATTATCATATTTGAGATCATCTTCTCGCAGCATTAAGATTGAGTCCTTGAAATTGAAGATCTGATCATTAGATTAAAGGTTATTCGAGAGGGTTTATTTATTTTTTGCTCACTTTACTTCAGTGACTATGTCCGATAAATTTAAGACACAACTTTCAGTAACAACTTTGTTGATTAAGAATCAAATGAGTGTATATCTTATAAAAATTTCAATTTTTATAATCAAATTTAAGATAGTGTGAAATGTATAGTTAAATGTTGGAGATCTGGTGTTAGCTAAACAGCGCCAAAAAGCAACGTTAGCGCATACTCAATGCAAATGAAATCAAACAGAAAATAGTTTGGGTAAATTAAAAGAGTATCATCTGGGAGTCATGGGATCCTTATTTACAAAAGAAAATTTATAATTTAACCACTTGTGTGGTGATAAAATAATCGTATTTAAGATTGGGTAAAATGTAGAATACAACTTTGGAGATTTGAAGGCAGATTTACAGCGCCAAAAAGAAACGTCAATGCTAATAAAATCAAGCAGAAAACAGTGTTAAAAAATTGTTAAAATAAATCTAGATTATTAATAATTGCTAGAATATTAAAAGAAATATAGGGATCGTGGGATCCGTATATGCAAGAAAAGCTTCAACCATTTATGTGGTAAATACAATTAAATTCCCAAACTGTTTTAGACGAGAGCTTCTCAAATTTCTTCTAAGAGACATTCCTTTTTTATTTGAATTAACCCACGACTATGTAAAGATATTATGTGTTTTGGATTTATATTATTGTTCGTATTAAAAAATTGTTTAGTCATGCTTAGAGATTTTAATAGAATTTCACCGATTTTTCTAACCTCCTTGAATTTTTTCTTAATATAACAAATTCATATCAATCAGTTTAAATTTTAAAATTCAGAATTGATCTTTTAATCAGTCACAAAAGTTAATCGAAGATTGTTTAAAAAAATTTAAAACGCACTCAAACGGGAAAAGTTAATCGAGAAATATTTTTATTTTCAATGCTTTAAAATCTATTAAAACAAGCAAAAACAAGTTAATCTCAAATTAAGCACAAGAAACTACATTTGAAAGAGAACGCTCTCAGTAACTAAATTTTGGGAAGAACTTTTAGAAATTGAACTGAGTTGCTTGACGGCAAAAATTAAGGTAAAAAAAAACAACGAAAAATTTTCGTTGAAAACTGCTTTTTTGATGCTAAATTTTGTGAAGAGACAAATAATAAAATTAAAAAATAAATAATTAAATAAGACAAAACTAAAAACTATGGATATTAGTTTTTCGGAGTGAAAAAGATATTACGATACAGCCTTACAGGGATCTCACAATTTAACTACACCACCACATTTTGATCCATATCTTCATATCCATAGCTTCAGAAGCTTTATACATAGCAAATTTTCAGTCATTACCAAGAACTTTAATTTATTTCACTTAATGAAAGATTATAATAAACAAATTGAAATTTACTCTTAGAATTTATTAGATAAATATCTACTTATTATTCATGGATTGCAATGAATCAGAAAACATCCACTGGATGTTTTCTAATGCATTGATTTGGTTATATTTTCAATTCGATTTATAATTTTTTAGAAGTTAAGTGATCTTTGTAGTAGATGTATGCTTAACTGTTATGTCTCAAACTGCATGATTAAATGTTTCTCTAGTTAGGTGTTGTTTTTCTTGAACAAAAGAAAATGGATCAAGCTCTTTTCTATTTTGATAAAGCACTGAAATTGAATCCGGAACATGAGGTATTACAGTTTTATAATAGTTAAAAAAATTGTAAGCTTAGTGCAAGAACAACCGTTTTTAATAATTGATTTCTAGGTCTCAGTAGCACAATCAGGGTGAGAGCTGCGGAGTTGTAACGGAAACTAACCAAAATTCTACTTGCATACGCAGCCATTCCGCTATAAACACTTCACTCAGAATCTTAATTAAACATATTTTTCATTCTTTTTTAATTTTGTGTTAATTTTGGAAAAAATAAGTGAAAAATATTATATTTAACATTTTTAATAATTAATGGTCATAAAATACAACATGAAACACTGGTGTCTTTTTCTGCGTTAAAGATATAATCTTCCAAATACAGCTCACTTCCAAATAAAAATGTTTTGAACTTGCGCTTATTTTTAGTTATTTAGATCTAAGAGAAACAGTTATTCATCATAGAAATTTCTTTAGTTTACAAAATCAATAGATAAATTTTTGAATACAAATAAAATAAATTTCAAACTACTTTTTTTTGGATTTAATATTTTAGCACAAATATAATTTTGGTAATCTGACAGTATTTTTTAACAAATATTCGATTGTTTTTTATAATGAAAAAATATCAAAATATACTTTTGCTTGTTATTAAAGTGTCAGAGAAAAAAATGTATAAAAGAAACAACGGCATCCCATCTGCATCAAAGGGTTTGTCGGTCGTCATGGGTTTAGAAGTCTGGAGACATAAAAATTATGTGTTATATATAGATGATAATGCTAATTATAAAAATTAAATGACAGCGTTTTCTGTTGCATACCAGACAAATCTGATATACTTGCCAAGTCATCTATTAATTTTATCCTCTGACTGTGACAGGCTGTTGCTATTTATTATACATTGTTTTATAGTCCTTCTCAGTTGCTAGCACCATCTATAGATGAACTTTGTAGCTAATTTTAAAATTTGACCAGAATAAATCTCTAGTTTTCCAAACCTATCGCAGAAAGTAGAAAATCGCAAACCTCTATAGGTACTCATTTTTCTTTTAATGATTTTTTTAAATCATCAATCTTGGAGACATCCTCTCGGCATGGTTAAACATAGAACGCTGAATATATGGGTTAGCTGCTTGCTCATGTTTGGCTAACGGAAGGCTATGTTATAGACTTAAAGAAATTGACTAACTTCAATGAAAAAAAAGTTAAATCAAACTTTAAAAGCAAAAGAAAAATTATCATTTTCGTGAATCTGTGTTATGGGAAACTTTTTCCAAGATAATTAAATATTAAATACGTAGAATATCAATATTTTTAAATATTAAAATTAGTTGCTATTGCATCAAGCTACAGATTTTATGGCGACAATTTTTTAAAAATTTACTAAAAAACGCTCTTTTTTTGACAGCAAGCATTGTTAAATTCAGCAATACTTATACAAGAAAATGGAATCAGAAATTTAAGAAAAGTCGCTTATGAGAGGTATATATTTTTTTACTATACTGTGAGTTCTATTTTTTTATATACTACGAATTTAAGTATTTAAATATATATAAGGTAAACTAACCAGTGGAGGAACACTTACGCTTTGCTTGCCTTTTAAAAAATCATATTAATTTCAAAATTCTAAAATTTTAGTTAAATGACAGTGTCAACATATTTGTTACTAATTGCAAATTATAAAAAAAAAATTGAAGAGAACTTACATAATATTGTTTTAAAGTTTTGGAGGTTCAAATAACAAGTAGAGAAGTCTATTCGACCAAGTAATCCAAAACATTGATATATGACTTCCTATTGTTCGGCAGTAAGCTGTTGTTACCAATCAATCTAAAGAAAAACTTTCAAATTCTTATTTTTAATCAATATATATGAAATGTTCCTTCACTGGGTAGTGTTCCTTCACTGGTTGGTTTACCCTATATTTTTGAAATTTGTACTCAGAAGTTTTTGAGCTAAACATATAATAATCTTCATTTACAAATGCTTGATGAGTGTGATACATCTCTTTCTACATAAAAACAAAATTTGTGAATTCTGGTTTTCTTCAATATGTCTCTTTCTGCATAAAAACTAAGTTCGTGCACTCTGGTTTTTTTCAATGTGTCCATAACAAAGTTCCAAGTAAAACAAGGTTCCTATAATCTGTTTCTTTATTGAAAGTTTTATTGAATAAGATAAGTTCGTGACTTTTCCTAAGTAAGCAAAGTAGTTGAAGACATGATGTGTAGTTGTCAATACTAAATTAAAATAAAAGAGTATTTTTTATCTACTTCGTAATTTGTTTACTTAATTCCTTATTTGCATATATACAAGAAAGAAAAGGTCTATATTAGTTTTATATAGTCTCCTCTTACATGTATTTTTTAAAATGTTTATCAAAAATTAATAAGAATATGTATGCACATAAGGGGATTGTAAGTAAATGACAAAACCAAAACGCTACCAACAAACACGCTGTCGAAACTTTCAGAATCAAAAATGAGAAGGGTACGATAAAAAATAATAAAATCTGTTAATTTCCTTTTGAAATTTGTAACAATCACCTTTCAACCAATCTCTTTTTGCTACGGCAGTCACATGACCATTTCAGTTTTAAGTCTCACCTTTCTCAGTAGTGATTCGATAAATGAGGCGTTATTTTTAGAGATAGAATAAGTTCATTTTATTATGAGGTAGAATAAGTCCATTTGGAGCTAAAAAGTAGTTCTTTTTGCGATTTTAATAGTCATTGTTGCATTTTGATGTTTTATTAAATTATAGTTTTTGATGTTTCTTCAAAATTAATCAACCATATTGATAAATCTGGTGTCTTGGGATATTCATCCACTTTTAGATGCACCTGGATAATTTTTTTAAAAATTTTTTCCGCACATGCGCTGTATAAAGCAACTACTTCATTTACTCTTATCTGGCGCAGTTTTTATTATTATTTTTTTAATTTTAAAGCAATAATTTCGTTATCAGTTTAAAATTGATTCAAACGCTTTGTTTAATTTTTTTTTAAATATTTAAGCTATAGCAAAAGTGGCACTAGACCTAGTATATATTTCGGACACTTACCAAAGCTCTAGTCATACTAGGTCTGGTTAAGTGCCATTGCCCGGTATACATTTGCCCGGTATACCCTACACCGATGTTTTTTTAAGGTCAAGTGCCACTGCCCGGTATACATTTGTCCGGTATACTGATGTTTTTACCCTGCACTGACGTTTTTTTAAAGTCAAGTGCCATTGCCCGGTATATATTTGCCCAATACTCCAAACACTGATGTTTGTTCTAATCTATCGTCTGTAAGTAGTAAAATATCGAATAAATGTAATTATATCCACGAATAAATTAATATCAAATCGGATGTAATAAATATTTCGGACATTCACCAAAGCGACTATGTGATTGTCANATTATATTAATTTATTCAAAAATTAACCCATAAAAGCCTCGAAAATCCGAAAAATAAAAACTGGACTTATTTCACTTTCAAAAATGACGTCACATATTTTTATAGCGGTTTTCTATCGTTAAATACTAATTTGCGACTCATAACGTTTATTGTTTTTAAACATTTGCTATAATGTGTTCATAATTGACATGAAATTTCAAGATATACATTAAGACCTCTTTTAATAGAAACCTATATTCACAAAAAGCACCGAAAATGATTGTTAATTAACATCATTACAAAATACGTAACACGTATGCTATCGCTTGGGCAGAAAATGGACAAAATTGGGAATAATGTTTTTTCCTTAGGCGCTGTTTTTTTTAAATTTTTGAATGAAATGAAAACTCGTTTGTTTAATGAGAAAAAAAACGAGATTACGATTTTTATGGAAATACCTCACATAAAAAATAATCAAAATATTTCCATTTAAAACTATATTTTTTATTTTCTGAAACAAATGCCAATTTTAATATCTAAAATGTTTACAAATATTATTTATATTTTTCAAAATTTTAGCATTCTTTAAAAAAATGGTTACCTAAAAAATTTATTTATTTATTTCTCAGAAATACATCAAATTTTAAAGGTATAAAAAAACAGAGACTTCAATTCGAAAGCATCGTCTTTTTCTTATGTTTCATCGTTACGCTTAATAAAAATTTCTCGAATCTGCATTTCTATGCAAATGAAATATTTATATTATTCAACTTCTGCAAAATTCTTTCAAACTATTTAAGTAAAATATGATTATGCATTTCTTAAGAATTCCTTCAAAACTTTCACAGTTGTTACATACATTCAAAAGTTCATGTTCAATATTTATTAAAATTTTTTTTTTCAAATTCTTTCTCTGTAAAAAGAGCGACTTGAAATATTTATTCTGTCGTTGCTTAGCAACTACATGGTTCAAAATGAAATATCAAAATACTAGTGTCCAATTACTCGTTATAGCACTTAAAAAACACATTCAGAATAAAAGAACTGATAACATAGCAATATGAAATGAACGTAGGACAAGTACGCCTAGACCAATTTTTGAATTTATTTTTTGAATTCGTTTTTCCAATTCTATTTACGAACTCGACATAGATGATGTGACGATCTTTTTAGTTATTCATCAATTTGAGACGGCAAAAATAAGTTTTTTTCGAAATCTTTTCTTTATATTGAAAGCAGTAATAAAATGATGTTCTTAGTTGGATCCTCAGTGTCTTAAAACTTTCTTTAAAATCGGGGAGTATTCAATTTGGTTTAAATGAATTCTAAAGAATATAATAAATAAAATTATTTAAATAAAGTACTTCTTTTTTAAAGCATACTAAAAAGGATAAAATTATTTTAGTTTTGCAGAAGTTTATCCCATAGTAAAAAATTACGGATCAAACTAAGGTATAAATTACCAGCACTTAGGGTGCATTAGCCGAAAAATTCATTTTATCACAAAATCCTTTTTTAGCGTGTAATTCTATACAGTATCTAATGATTGCTGTAATATTTATTTTATTAGAGGGATTCTGTGATTTTAATATTCAGTGATTTTAATAATTATTACTGTAAAAATTATGGTACAACCGATTTTTTTTCCGTTACCAGTTCCGGTAAATAAGGATTTTATGGTAAAAAGTACCGGCATCTCGAGTGATGGTATTTACCGTAATTTGATGAGGAATATTTTACAGCGTACGACTGTTACACACACTACGCGTTTTCATTTTTGATTTGATAAAGGTAAAATTATCATATTCTTATTCCAATCGCAATTTTTTTAAAAATTTTATTATTTTTTCTTTTTGTTCTGTGGTATTTGGTTTGTTATGTAGAAAAGTGGACAAAAATCGAGACAAATATTGCTTGCGCCATTTTCGGAAATAACCATAGTTTGCATTAATATCATATACTAAGCTCCAGTTTGAATGTGAGCACTCTAGCCTGTCGGAAAGAGATCAGTATTTTGATTAACGTTAAATTTAATCTGGTAGTGAAATGGTGATAACTTCGGCTTGTAGGGGCCAGAAAAACATTGGAATAAATTTTTAAGAAAATCCTTGTTTTTATATGTTTGGTAAATGTTATAGTAAAATTATATAAAAGAAATATTTGAGATATAAAGATAGCAAAATAAATGCATAAATTAGGAAGGTTACGAATCAAATGAGATAACTCTCTAATCTCAACGATCTCTATTACTTAGCAAACTCAACCATCCCTATTACTTAGCAAATAATACAGGAAATATAAATTTGAATCATTAAGAAAACAGTCTGAAAACATTAGCATTACTTTTATTAATATACTCTTGTGAAATTCCGTTTAAAATAAAGTAATAAAATTAATTTTCATCTTGAAAATAAAGTAAGAATTAACTCTAGAAAAACGGCCACTTTTTAAACTTCTAAAAACTTTATTATTGTCTTTGTTATCAATTTATTTCTGCGTAGTCTATTATTAACTGTAAGTGAAAAACTTTTTTTAAACTTTACTACTTATTATAAAAAGAGAGATGAAACAGTACAAATTCTATGAAACAAATGAACGCAAACTGAAACGAAAAGAATATTTAAAATGCTAATTTATATTTGTTTCATAAAAGAAATCGAAAAAATATAAATTTCTTGAGCACCCTGGAAGACACATAAATGACGAAAATTAGAAACTGGAAAGCAATTGACAAAAAAAAGGAGAGAGAAAAAAGACAAGAGTAACCGTGGTAGACAAGAAGACCGTGGGTGGATGTCGTGTTTTGGATTCATGAAACATGTTGACTTTATTTTCCATTTGGAAATTACCCTTGCTTATAAGTCACTTACAAACAAGGAAATTAACTATGCAATGATCAATGACACAATATATTTAATACTATTGAGGAAAAAGAATTAAAACGTATTCTTTTTGTATTGCTGATTCTTATAACAAATTCTTGTAAAATTGACACAAAGAGCCTTGTTAGCTTAAAATTTAATGAGAGAGATAAGTAGACATGATAACCGTATAATCATATTTTGAAAATTCAGTTTCAATATCTATAAGACAATTAAATTTTCTGAAATCCGGAAAATTGTAACTTAAACATGTAATTAATAAATACACGGGATTTCAATTTAAAATCTAACTCCTTTGTAACGTCTATTTATATTAAATTGTTACTTTGTCTCCTTAATTAGATTTAAGTCATATGCAAATATATATATATTGAAATCATTTCAAACTTGAAATTAATACACATGCTCCTTCAAATCTCATTTGTTTTAAAAAATATTATGACTTAAATTTCAAGCCTTGAGTATTTTAATTTTAATATTGAAATTATACGAGTATTTTATTAGTATTACGAGTATTTTACACCTTAAAATTGTAATTAGTTATTTTTTATTTTTATAAACTTAATTTTGTTTTTTGAAACAAATATTTTATTTTTAGGCTTAACATTTTACTTCGCCGAAAAAGCGCCAACGAAAGAGTATATTTCAACCTAGGAATGCTAGCAATGGATGAGAAGAATATAACTTCTGCGGAAAAATGGTTTCATAAAGCAGTGCAGGTAATAACATAACTTTTAAACTATGTTCACACCAGAAAGACTAGGAAAGTTTTAAAATAATAAAGTAGTGTAAAAAAATTGCCAAGCAGTATTTGATTTTAACTGGATTCTTCCTATAAATAGTTTTCACTCAAAAGTTTAGTTTATGAATCGTAATCGTTGTATGTGTAGCACGCACGGTTATATTCCCTGCCCAAAATGTATGAAAATGTAGCAGGAAAAATTCCGGGACTAAGTATCGGACAAATTCTCGCTGCCGAAATCCTGGACAAAATCTCGCGGCCGAAGTATCGCCTGGACAAAATATTTGCTAGGCCAAAATCTCGCTCGGATATACAATCGCATGTGCTGATTATTATTAATTTTGCAACATGGCATCTTTCAAAAAAACAAAACGGGTCGGTTGCTTTTTTTAAACTTGAAACAGACCCTAGCGTAATAAGTGTTTGCTCATTTGAAGATTTTGCTTTAAAATTAAATTAAATTAAAGATGATATTCCTCTTTATTTTAATTATAAGATATCATTCATGAAAAATATTTATATTAGAAATTCTGTTTTCTAAAGATTTGCATGTTAAAAAGAGTGTGTTCATAATCAAATTTTTCGTGTCATTTGTGTGATATCTTTTGCCTTTGTGATATTTAATCCGAACACCCTTGGAAAATACGCATTGGATCAAAAATTCCAAAATACAAGAGTGAAACATATTCAAACGATCCACTCAATGAATTCGATTCCCCATTCTTAACCAAGGGGGAGAGGTTTGCTACTTTAAAATCTTAAATAGAAAGCCATATTTTTATTGCAGATTTGGATTTTCCAGAAGAAGTATAATTCGACAGACATGTTGTTGCATTTCGGTTCAAAGGAACTATAATTGCGAAATTTAAATGGGGGGGGGGAGGAACTTGTTTAAAATAGAAACCTCGAGAAATTCACGCGACACTAAGAAAATTTAAAAAAATTTGTTTCATATTTTGAAAAAATAACTTTTCCAATGAGACCAAACTTCACCAACACACATCATGCACTGAGGCTAAGGCAACTCCCGAAAGTTGCTATCTAGTTTGATGGTAGAAGAGGTGGAATTCAAGTTGGTTGTCATTAGATAAAAAATTTTAAAATATCAAATAAGTCTATTTTTATTTTCTCAATATTACATGTATTTTTAGATATATCTCAATTTGAAACAATTTTGAATAAATCAAAAGTTTTGTTTTCTCTATCTATACATCTATACATAATAATAAAAGCGGCTGTGTGTGTGTGTGTCTGTAATCACAATATATCGCCCCAGAAGCCTCGCCCAGGCTCGAAACTCGACACATAATTGTGTTTTGACATAATGAAGAAGTATTTTTTTTCTTTTTCAAAAATTTGGATTAGTTTTTTAGTTATCAGTCATTTTGTAAGAAAATCTATGCTTTNCTAGGCCAAAATCTCGCTCGGATATACAATCGCATGTGCTGATTATTATTAATTTTGCAACATGGCATCTTTCAAAAAAACAAAACAAAACACGTCGGTTACTTTTTTTAAACTTGAAACCGACCCTAGCGCAATAAGTGTTTGCTCATTTGAAGATTTTGCTTTAAAATTAAATTAAATTAAAAATGATATTCCTCTTTATTTTAATTATAAGATATCATTCATGAAAAATATTTACATTAGTAATTCTATTTTCTAAAGATTTGCATGTTAAAAAGAGTGTGCTCATTATCACATTTTTCGTGTCATTCGTGGGATATCTTTTGCCCTTGCGATATTCAACCCGAACACCCTTGGAAAATACGCATTGGATCAAAAATTTCAAAATACAAGAGTGAAACATATTCAAACGATCCACTTAATGAATTCGATTCCCCATTCTCAACCTAGGGGGTGAGGTTTGCTGCTTCAAAGTCTTAAATAGAAAGCCTTTTTTTTATTGCAGATTTGGATTTTCTAGAAGGAGTATAATTCGACATACATGTTGTTATATTTCGGTTCAAAGGAACTATAATTGCAAAATTAAAATGGGGGGGGGACTTGTTTAAAATAGACCTCGAGAAATTCACGTGACACTAAGAAAATTTAAAAAGATATGTTTGATATTTAAAAAAATAACTTTTCCAATATGAGACCAAACTTCACCAACACACATCATACACTGAGGCTAAAGCAACTCCCGAAAGCTGCAATCTAGTTTGATGGTAGAAGAGGTGGAATTCGAGTTGATTATCATTAGATAAACTTTTTAAAATATCAAATAAGTCTATTTTTATTTTCTCAATATGGTTTGTATTTCTCGATATATCCCTGTTTGAAACATATTTAAAGAAAATCGAAAGTTTTGTTTTCTCTATTTTAAATAATATTTAACCATATAAACATATGTTGGAATGTCCTGTGTATTTTATGAGTGCTTGAGAGGTAATGGGAGTGTACATCATAAGTAGTTAATTTTATATATAGTACCTGTATTCGAAATTTATTTTCACTCCTTAAAATTGAGTATTTTTCATTTTATTTCTATTTCACTGTTTTTAGAAACACAGAAATAACATTTTCGATTTCTGAATAATCAGTTAAGACTAATTTAAAAGTCATCTGTGCAACGAAAGAGCTGAAGGGCTAACAATTAAAAAAAATTATAAACTAAATGATCTGGCTATCAAGAATTAATTGTGTCCACTAAAGTTTCCACCTACGTTTTTAAGGTACAGAATTGAGTAACATATTAATTTATCAGCTAGATTTTCGTATAGTATTGAAGAAAAAAAAATTGTTGAAATCTTGCGCAGTAACATTTATTTGCTAATATTTACATCTGTTAAAATTTTGACTCTGATAAAATGATAAATATTTTTTTATCAACAAACAAATTATGAAGAAAAAATACGTTGAATGCAGGTTAATCATAAAAAATAACTTGATGATCAATACGTAATGAGAATATCAATCAACAGTGGCGTGTATAAATCAGTTTTTAAAATTAATAGCTTCATTTAATTTACTGCTCACATTTTTTACTTAATATGAAATAATTGCAAAACTATTTTTTTTTTGTGAAGAAAAAAGGTACTTAAATGTAGAAATTGCATTTAGATACGTGAAGATTTTAGAAGTGCGCTGTTCAATTTGGCACTCTTACTTTCGGACGCAGGTCGTCCGATGGAAGCCATCCCTTTTCTTCGCAGACTTCTGCTGGTGAGTATATGTTAATTTTAGAAATTCCTTTTTTAAATTTATACTAAAAACCAAACATTATATATACAGTAGAGTCCCGATTATCCGAGTTAATGGGGACCACAGCAAACTCGGATAACTGAAAAACTCGGTTAAGGCGAAGAGTATAAAAACGGAAAGAAAAAGAGAAGGTATAAATGTAATATTTTTAAGAAATACAAAATGTATACGAGTATACCACATGCAATTCATATTATAATTAAAAAGCTTACTTAAAAACATTTAAAAAGCATACTTTGCGAGAATTAAATAATTTTTCCTTAAAAAAAGTCCTTAATCGTTTTTCGTTCTACATAACTTTGGCGCTTTTCTGTAGTTATGTTTCGCCTTTTTTAGGGATAACAGGAAGGCTGGTGTCTCCTCTTTTTGTTGTTCTATATATTCAATAGTACATTCGATAGCGTTTAGTCCATCTGTATGAGAGATTTTTATATGTTGATTTTAATAATCACTGTCTTCATCATCTTCGCTAGATTCATTATCATTATTGACGATATTAACGATAATTTCATCAGACCAAGTTGTTGGATTTTGTTTTTCTGAGTGTTTGGAAGATAAAATTCAGATTTATTTTTCAGCGGTTTTTTT